CCCGTCCATAAGAGAACTAGAGCACACCTGTAGTCCCAGCTGGGGGCTGAGGCAGGAGGATCGTGGCAGTGTGAGATCCTGTCTTAAACAGGATAAAAACGGGCCAGCTAGTGGCATAGTGGTTAAGGTGCTGGACTCCCACATGGTCAACTGCAGTTTGAGTTCTAGACCTGGTAGCATGAAAGTCATGCTGGGCTTTGTGTGTGTGCCCAAAATCTCAAGAGGAGAATTGGGAAGCGATTGCAGCATGACCATCTACCCTCTGCAACCCTGGAGGGGGGTGATTTCTCACTTTTCCTTTCTCTCTCTTTCTTCCCAGCGATCCACACATCCTATGGCAAAAACATAAAAAAACTAAACAAAACAAAAAGCAAATCAGAGTCTGTAAAGACCTAGATGACCCAAGAGGAAAGTTTTGTCAAGTCTACCATATGAATATTGTAGTGATGTTACATCGTGCCGAATACTTCTAACTCCTTTAGAAACAGAGGAGTCAGTTTTAGAGCTTGATGGGTCCTTGGAGAAAACACAATGCTTGTTTCCTAGAAGGGAAGTGAGATGTGTAAGATCACACAGTCCACACGGCTCTGACAGTATCAAAGCCCAGGAACGCAGTTCCAGAGAGGACGCTCATTACAGGAGCACCTGGGCTAAACACACTCACCGGGACCCTGCGTGGCCCACTTGCCGCTTCTACTACAGGTTCAATATTCCTAAGACTGAATATTAAACGTATGCAGTAAATCAAGGTTTTCCTCATTTTAATTGATTTTCCCCAGATCATTTGGAGTTGTTGACTTTCCAGGTATAGAGGTAATCAGTAGATGCAACTGATTAAAAAGGACTCAAGCTTGAGAATTGACAGCAAAATGCTAGGCCACGCATGGAAAATAGGAGATTGAAATTAATAAAATAATAGTGAAATTGTATCTGAGAGGAATAGTCTAAAAAATCCAGAGTGCCCAATAGCAGAAACCTAAAAAACAAAACAAAACAAAAACAAATCAGATTCTACAAGGACCTAGAGGACCCAAGGGAAATGGTTTGTTAAGCCTACCGTCTACACCAAAATGGCTCTATGGAACAGCAACTTTACAGTGAATAACAAACCTCTTCTCCTGACCCTCCACGTAGACACCTCCATTCCCCATGGCTGTAAGATGTGGATGTTAAAAGAATAGACTTTTATTTCTGTCCCTCTTTCATCTTATTCTTGCTGGTTAGTGGAGAAGCACTCTTGGATAGAAAAATCACATTAGAACTTTGATAAGTAGCTTTTTGAAATAGAGTTGTTTCCATGCCACAGACATTTGGAGAGAAGTATGTTTATTGAAATATATTTTTGTAGAAAATATTACAGAACCTGCAATTGGAAACTTATGGCAGTATTTTGGGGAGTGATATGTTCTTAATGTTAATTTGTGGATTCGCACTGAACTCCCTTCTGCTGTGTTAGAACCATTGGCTGAATGAACATTTTTTCAAGAGTCTTTTCAGATCCAAACTGTGTTTCATGAAATGGAGTATTTGGTGCTTAAATAATGTATAAATCCAGTTGGACAGGAGCTGCCTGTCAGTTTTATTAACTTTGACCTTTTCTCCCATTATAAAGGTGGTTCGGTAAATATTTAATGGGCTCCTTATAGATCTTGACAGTTGGAGCCGTGTTTCTGGAAACTGGGATACGTATATATGATTAACAAATGCCGCTTAATCATTGTGAGTCAGCTCTCAAGGGCACATTTTGCTTTGGGGGAAGAGGAGTCCTTCCACTGTACTTGAGAGCATCCAAGATGGCAGGGTTTCGGGGAACCCTTTGACAGGCAGACGGCAGTCAGCGTGCATGCATTTCTGCTGCTTTGTTTTTTGTTTGTTTGAGCAAATGATCCAAAGGATGCCGGCTTGGCAAAATCACCTGCCACTCTGCATCGTTAGCAGGACTCTTCCACTCCAAGAGTCAGCAGGGCTGGGATGGCTGAGCTTGCATGGACCCTAATAAGGCACCAAGAAGGAGGAGAGCCGATTCCCCAGCCAGGAGGGGGTTCTTGCCAAGCTGTCTTTCCCTTTGATTCCATAAAGCCCCATGCATATTGCACTCATTGCAGATTCTAGTGGGGAAGATCGAAACCCAAACAGCTGACATTTTGAAACATTGTCTTTCAAACTTGTACTGTCCCTTGCTTCCATTGATTTCCCATTTAAGAAATCTGTAGGAGAAAAACAAATTTGAGCAAAATTCATTGGTCTGAGATGAGTTGTTAGAGCCAAATTATGCCCCCCTTTTCCACCCTGAGAAGAGCTCCATTTTTATTATGAATGTGATGTATCTTTGTCTTGTATTGGGCAGCCATAAGGCTCTCACAGCAAATCGACCAAGTAAATCAAGAGCCTGTTAAAAGGCAATATGGATGCTCCAAACACAGACATCTCAGTCTTACTGGGTCACTGGATATCTTCATTTTTATGGCCACTTTCCAGGAGCAGATCATTTCAATTGGTTTTGTTTTCTTCTATTTGTGGGCAGCCCAATGGCCTTAGGTAAGGCTGTCTACTTTTTCAGAAAGGTGTCATCTTTTGCATCCAGAGCCCAGCCACTTGATGTAGCCACCAGTTCCATTACCAGGAGCTGAAATATAGCCGAGTTGGCAAAACGAGCAGACAAAAAACCCAAAACTGTGCCTTGGAAGAGCATTTTGAGAAGAAACTGATTCAGAGTTTCAGATTGAGTTACTATTTGTATGTTTAGTTAATTCTAAATAAATGTTTGAAAGACCTTGCTTCATTTGAGAAGAGAGGAAGAAACATATTGGGCGTTATAAATGGTCTCGATCCAAGTTCTGAGCTTGGCATTTTCACATTTGAACGTTTTATTTGCATCTGTTCGAATTGGGATACCTTTCAAGGATAGTCTTATTACAGGGAGAGCGGTGACAATGCTCATGATCTCAAATTCAGAAGTATGTGATTGAAAAAGGAGGGTAAGAGCCATTGTCACGTATTGGATAAAAACTTCATTTGGTAATGAGTTAAGAATGATGAGTTGTATTTTAAACTTCCTTTTTTTTGTTTTTTGGAGCAGTTTTGCTATAGGTGTAGTGCCCTGATCACAAGATTCCCAAAAGACCACCAGGGTGCCGTCCAATGTAAATGCACAAGGGTCGCTTTTATTCAGGCTCGAGCCAGGACTCCCAGTCTTTCCGGCACAGCGGGTCAGAGTTGAGAGCCCCGGTGTTAGTTGGGCTGGATTTTTATTTGGCTGTTGGGGTGGAGGCCGAGAGGTGCTGAGGAAAACACTCAGGCAACACTACATTGGTTGGAGATTATAGGGAGTGTAGCTGACTCTGGTTGATTGGTTATTAAGCCGTTGAGTTAGGCAAAAAGTTACTTTAGGTTTCTGGTATCTCCTTTGTTTCTTTCATTGGTCAGTCCCGGTGGGGTGATGGTCTCATGACTTTTCTACGTGTCTGGCTCGCCTTTTTGAAATGGTGCTGTCCCTCAGTAAGGTGGGACAAAATGGAGTTGCTCTGGTTCTGCTCTGGTCCTTCATAGGGCGTGTGCGCTTGCCAGAAAGACAGAGAGAGACAGAAAGCAAGAAATTACCCCCCAGGGGGAGATGGCCACCTCACAATCCCTTCTCCTCCATTCTCCTCTCGGGATCTTGGGCATACATGCACACATGCCTGGCGTGAGTTTAAGCCACTGGGTCCGGGACTCGAACTGTGGTCGACTACATGGGAGTCCAGCGACATAGCCATTACGCCAACTGCTGGTCCCAAGTTGCATTTTAAATCAAAAGATTCCTATGGTAGGAGTTAGGGAGACTGACTGCATTGGGGCACAAGGGAACTTTCCACAGTGATGGGAAATTGCTGTACCTTGATCGGGGTAGCAGGTCCACAGGTGTGTACATTTGTCAAAGCTCACCAAACTGTACACTTAAAATAAGTGCATTATATGTTATATAAATTACAACTCAAAGTGGATTTTTTAAAAGTCACATTTGGTTTGGAACTAGGCAGTACCGTTTCTCTTTCCCAGTAGAGAAATTGAAGTATAGAAAAGTAAAATGATATGTCCTAAGTAACCTCAAAGCTCAGCACTTTGTCTGGAATGAAAGCAAAGGATGCTGGCTGGCTCTCAGCCCACTTAGAGCGTGTGGCTTCCTTCTTTTTGTGACGTTCCAATGCACGTGTGTGGAGGTGAAATCAGTCTCTCCCCAGTTCTCTTAAGTGAGAACTATGTCCATGTGTGTAGGTTAGGGTAAGATATAGTAACGAGATTGCCCCTCAGACTGGTATGTGCGCTGCCACTGCTGAGAAGGGTGACCCGGTTGTTGTGAAGGCTGACTTGTGGCCCACTCGAATCTGTGCATAAGTCGTGCTGTGGTTGTAGTCTGCTGTAGAGGACTACAAATTTATTCTTTTTATTGTGACCAAGACGAGACACTAGCAAGAGTTCCAGAACCAGCTTCATCTCCAAGGAAGACCTTCTGATCTTCTTCCAAAAAAATTACATAGGCTGTAGAACCATTTACGTGAAGTGTAAATGAGTAGTAGTAGAAAATAAAGAAGAAATAAAAATGACGCCAATACTCCTACTTAGAAGTACATTGTTAGCATTTTAGAGACTATCTCTCTGATTGCCTCTCTGACTTACAGTGTAACCTGTTTTTAAGTTTTAATCAACCTGACAGTGTTCTAAAGTCTCTTCATGTTTTAGCTGGTCTCCCAGTTTATGGATGGCCATTTTGTTTGCCTTCGGTTTTTCATCATTATGTAATGCTGTGCTGAACAATCATATTCTTGTTTCTTTTCCAATTTGTCCAGTGTCTTATGAATAAATTCCTTGGAGAAGAATGTTAGCACCTGGGTTTGAAATTACTTAAAAATGTTCTAACTATGTTTGAAATTACTAAAAAATGTTCTGAAGAGGTAAGGTTTCTAAGTATTGGCCTGCTTTCATCAGATGTCTCCCCGCTTTTTGCTTGTTTCTCTCTGCAGCTGCAGTACCATGCAGGTCTGGCGTCTGGCCTTTTGAATCAACAGTCATTGAAGCGTTCTGCTAACCAGATGGGAGTATCTGCTAAGCGTCGACCGAAGGCTCAACCCACAACTCTTGTCCTACCGCCTCAGTGAGTGACGAGTTTGCAACACGACCACAGTCCTGATGAATGCAGCTTTGTACTTATTTCTGGCTAGTGGGAAAATGATGTATTTTCAAAATTGTTTCTTTCTTTTAAAAAGGTTTCTGTTAGGATTGGAGCCCAAGCATGACAGTAATGTGGTTTGTGCAGGTCCTTATGAAGCAGCCATTGCGCAGGCTGTGTTGGACCTTCTGTGTGAGACTGTCCACCTAGGATTTTGGTTTTTTTTTCAGTCTGAAAACAGCCACTGTTTATTTACTGACCAGATTACAAAAACAATCATGGTGGATACCTTAGTTCATCCTTCTAATAAGTCTGTTGATCTGGTCTTCCCTGTTGCCAGCATCTCTACCTTCTACAAAATGGGTGGTCTTTTTCTTCATTCCACCCCGTGGAGAAGATAATTTGAAGGCCCAAAGGAAGTTATTTGCTTCTTTAAAGGGTTTTCCAACAGTATAGATTTCATGAATCAGATCCTCCATGCAGATGATGCCGGATTTACCAAGAGATCGCACAATCAAAGAGTTATCTGTCAAAGCAATTCGCTTCTTATTGATTTGCCATAACCACGTTTGTAGATCAGTTCATTTACTGACTTCGGGTTTGGGTACCCGCATGCAATACATGGTTCCACAATTCTCAGCATGTTAATTGAGGCCTTGTTGAGTTTAACAAAGGTGCCATTGAAGATCTGGCGAAGAC